GCATTTAGGCACAGTAGATGCTGTTCTGTTTTTGCACATTAAGAAAAAAAGGGCCAAGTAAACACAACATAGCTGCTGTTTAGGCTGAAGTGGCACCCTTTTTGTATCTGTAAAAGCTAAAATGTCTTATTTTTACTTTCTGTATTTAAAAATGAAGAAAATATTGTCTAAAGACAAACTTTTGTTTTTATAAATAAATGTTCGTTTAAAAACGTTTACGATTAACGTATTATTTTACTATCAGAGATGTGCAGATTAGCTCACTGAATCTGCTGTTAATATCCACGGTGACCTATCATCATGCCTAAAGAATTAGAATTATTAAAGTGACGATCGAGTGCGGGTCAGGTGCGGATATATATATATATATCAGATAATATATATATATCAGATAAAACTATATGTGCGGGCAGGTGGCGGGTGGATGATTAGTATGAAGCCGCGGATTCGGGTGTCATTTCAGCTGATCCGTGCATCTCTACTGTGCAGCTCGTAACTGTCAGTTACAAAGCAGTCGACTAATCAGAACAGTGCGGAGGCGGGACAACAATCGCATGTTTCTATTTGCTGGCACTCAGTGGCTGTGTCTATTTACTCTCATACCTTTTGCTGCCCTTTTCAATTATTTTTAGCTGTCTTATGTTTGTAGAAGCAAAGACGCATTCGGTGTGATTGAGCCCTGAAGCACCTCGCAATGAAAAGTACATTCGGTGAGATATAAAACAAAATAAAAAAATATATTAAAAATGGTGAATCACAGCACTGTATGTTCACAAACGTTTAGTATTTCTTTATCTTAGCGCCATCTACTGACCTGGCATAAGATTACACTGTAAAAAAAATGATACGATCAATTAGTGCTGACGACATATGTTTTTAGGTCATTGTGACTTATTAATCAATTCATTAATAATTATGTATTAACTTAATTTTATAAGTTAAGCAAGCTGTTTTAACTCAGCTTAACATAAGTTCATTGGACTCATAAGGTTAACTTATTTACAGTGTAGGTATTGTTTTTGTGGCTTTGTGTAAATAGGCATTGACAAATTTGCCATCTGTAAGTAAAACTTTTAAAAAACACAAACAAAAAACCTGGACAGTGTTGTCAATTAAACGTCCCCTGAAAAACTATATTTTCTGATGAAGCTTTCCTCATAAATCCAGCTCAAACCCAGACGGAGCCCTGAGTTACCTGCAGAAACGCTTTGTTTGGACTCCACTAAACTGGCACCAGAGTCTGGACTCTCCTCGACGCCAGAACGGTTAGGATTTCAACAATGCAAAGCATACGCTTATAAAAATAATTACCTAACCTTGAGTTCAGGGGCTTCTTGGCTGCAGATAGAGAGACCAGACGCAGCGCCAGGTAAAGTCTGCAATTATAACCTCTGTCAAAACTCACTCTTGTGCACAACGCTGGAGAAAAACCCAATAAAAGCCCATTGAGGATCAAGGATTCCTACTCCCAGAGGCCCGTCTATCTCCAACTGTAATCTATGAAGAATCACAAGCGTCTTTTCAGACAGACGGGCACCCGGGAGGAAAACTGTATCGCTTTCTGAAGCTAATTAGCCCTGTATATGAGCAATCAGAAGAAATACAACAGCTGGCCAAGAAATATATTTGCCTTCCATTGGTGAAAGACAGCCAGTGGAAAGAAACGGAGGAATACCTGGTGTTATTCAGGAGGGCCGTTCAGGGGATCAGATGTGGGACAAATATAGACGCTCGGGAGTCTCGTTTTCATCTTCAGCTTCAGCGGACACACATACATTAAGAGCTCAGCCAAGAATAACAAAGGGGAATCTTTATAAAACTTGACAGGGGCATGTCTGCGTTATTTTTATGTCCAATATACAGGGCTCAGCATATATATATATATATATATATATATATATATATATATATATACCTTTCTAACCGCTTAACACACATTTTTAATCAGATGCATGATTAGTGATAGGAAATGAAGGAATTGTGTGAAACGCAGCATTTTTTCAGGCAAAACTCCTGTTTATTGAAATAATAAACCATTTTTAGTAATAACCAGGTCAATGAAGAATATACAAATGATTGTTGTTGTTTTTTTTCTTGCAGAACTAAGTTCAAGAGGTAGAGGTGAAAAAACAATAGAACCCGATGAAACTACAGAGTATCAAAACAGAAAGAAGACACAGGGAATGACATCGGAACTTTCCAAAATGCTTTCTTTTGTCCAAACAGAATAAATCAGTATGAAACGAAGTGTATTGCAGTCAGTGTACTGCTTTAACATACAGTATGTTGTACTGTACAATATAGGTATGTAATGTACCTTACAGTACAGCAAATTAGTTTATAGGAACAACCATCCATGTCAGTCATTGATCATAACCCAGCATATGTAATAAGAATTGCTAAGGATTGTACTTCATTAACATTTACCCAGTTTTTACTTACAGTACAGTCCTGTGTGTAACAGTAAACAGCACACGTGTGAATATAGCCATGACATTTTCAGTGCAGATGCTCATGAAAGCATTTTGTTTGTGATTGAATGTGATTTATGTTCATTCCTGAAAATCACTTCCATTTAAAAGTCTCAGAAACATACAGTCAGCACATTCATTCTGACTGTTAAGAAACAAAAACAAACCGTTAAAAAGAAATAAGTGCAAGGTTCAGGTCACCATCATTTAAAGAGCATTTGAGTTCACCAGCAGAGGGCGACACAGCACTACAATCATGCTCATTCTGCAAAGGCGCATTGGAGACATGTAGGGAGGGGGAAACAGTACATGCAATATTATCTTGTAATATTTAATGCACAATTGCATTCAGTGGAGATCACATTATGTGCTTATTTTGTCATTTGCTGCTGGCCAAAAGTAAGAGTAAAGTTTTTATATGCTCACCAAGGCAGTGCTTATTTGATCAAATGTACAGTAAAATTGTGAAATATTTTTGCCATCCAAAATAGTTATTTCTATGTGAATATATTGTAAAATGTTGTTTTTTCCCTGTGATTACAAGCAGAATTATGAAGATCATCATTAATTCAGTTTTTAGTGATGATTCGATGGTCAATAAAACATTTTTTTTACTACGAATAATATTAAAAACAGCTTAAAATATGGCTTAATATTGTTGTAAAAATCTTAATATATTTATTTCAAAATTATTTGAGATGGACAGAGAGTAAAAAAAAATGTTTTTTATCTTAAAATATCATTTGAAGTATTTTGCAGCATTATTAACATATTTCCCGCAACAATTTGTCTTTGCAGAACATTAATAATTTTACAACTATTACTCCAACCATTACTACTACTACTAAGTATTATTATTATTATTACTGCATTCGTATTTTTTTATTATTTTCATCATCATTATTATTATTTGTATTATTATTATTAATATTAAAAGCAAGTATATAATTATATAATTTAAATAACAATAATAATAATAATAATTATTACTATTAAAAGTAATATTACTATTATTTTTACTGCATTAATATTATTATTATTAATAGTAATATTTTATTATTATTACTTCATATTCATATTATTATTTTCATCATTATTAATAATATTAATTATTATTAAAACAATTATATAATAATTATATAATATAATTAAATAACAACAACAACAATAATAATAATAATAATAATTATTATTATTATTATTATTAATAATATTACTATTATTTTTACTGCATTATTATTATTATTAATAATAATAATAATAATAATAATAATAATAATAATCATATGAATTATTATTAAAACAATTATATAATAATTATAATATAATTACATAACAACAATAATAATAATAATAATAACAATAATATTACTATTAATTATAATATTGTATTATTATTTGTTTAAAATTAATCAAATGTTTTAGTCACAGGAATGAATTGCATATTAAATTCACATGGAAGACGTAACATTATTTCAATTTATTTTACTGCATTTTTGACTATTTATAAATAATCAATTATTCAAACCCCTGGCCAGCAGTGTACAATATATATTTATAGCTTTTTTTTTATTATTTAAGAACACTTCTTCCTGAAATGTTCTTTTGTTTTTCTTCAGAATAAATAACTCTTGCATTTATATTTTGCTTTCTACCTAAATAAAACTCACATATTTTGCATCTTAATCATCCAAATATGGTTTAAAAGGTGGTTAATGTACACTGTAAAAACATTCTTACTGTCTTCAATTTTTAAGCTGAATCAAATGAACTTTTCTAGTCATCTCAACTAACATTAATCAAACTGACTGAAACATTAAGGGAAACTTTGAATAAGTTTTAAAAATGTGTTCAGACCCGATTAACTTATTAAAATAAATTTGATTAACCATAAAAATTATTTCTTTTCTTGACTTTTTGTAAAACTTTAAAAACAGCGTTTGGATTTCTGGATTGCTTACTGTGCGTTTTAAGACACAACCGACAGGTTAATTAACATATTCATACATTCACAAATGGCACACCCAATTAAAGTGCTATGACTGATACTTATGTCATGGGTGTGTTCACACTTGGCAAGTCTGATTCCATTAAAATGAACTCAAAATGACAAATTCAGTTTGAATAGGTATGAAAGACTGATATCCCAACCGTAATGTCAACCAAACAAGGCAAAATGGGTCAAATGGGTTTCAATTCACATCCAGACAAACTCTAGAGCAGGGGTTCTCAATCTCAGTACTGGAGGTCCGTTGTCCTGCAGATTTTAGCTCCAACTTGCCTCAACACACCTTCAAAGATGTTTCTAGAAAGCCTAGCAAGAGCTTGATTATCTAGCCCAGGTGTCTCTGATTGGGTTTGAAGTTCAAATTTGCAGGACACCGAGATTGAGAACCCCTGCTCTAGAGCCTAAAATACAGTATGAACACAACACGTATTAAAGACATATAAATGAGACGAAAACAGGACATGATGTCATAAGATGGACCATAAAATGCAAAGAAGGCTTAAAATGTCCTGATTTTTTTCTCTCTTCACAGTCAGTATTGCTGATTTCAGTTCAGTACTGATGTCAGACATATTTATTGCTTACAGCAGATGTTCATTTGTGTCTGAGATTTTTTTTAAAGGCTGTTTTCATTCATTAAACTCTTTCTCGAGTTCATAACCAATAGAAATACCAACACATGTCCAAATACAATGAGCATATTCAGTTATGAATGAAAAGTTTTTTTTTTTTTTTAAATGTGCCTTTTTGTCTTGTTTCTAGTCCAAATATCTGAAAATTCCTAAATCAAAAAGCATTTTTTTAGACGCGCAAAATATAGTCTTGAAGGCCAGCTAGTGGTTAGAATCCTTGTTAGAACAACCAACTCCCATGTAAAGAATCACCGGTTCAATTCTATCTCAAAGCAGGGTGGGTGCAGTAGGACTGGTGGGTTACACTTGGGGGCTCGTCCGGGATTGAAGTGAGGTTTAGGGAGGTGAGTGTAACGGAGACCAACTAGTGAAGTGCTATGCAGATAAACCTCACTCCTCTGACCTCTGAAAGAGCTATAGCGACAGACACTAGAGGCCATGGTCATTAGCCTTCTTGTTAGAGGAATCGACTCCCATTTAAAGAATCGCCAGTTCGATCCCAGCTCAGAGCGGGTTGGATGCAGTAGGACCTGTGGGTTACACTTGTGAGCTCATCCGGGATGGGAGTGAGGTTTAAGGGGGTGAGTGTAACGGTGGTCAGCAAGTGAAGTGCTATGCAGGTAAAACTCCCTCATCTGACCATAAACGGTGCTCTAGCAACAGACGCTAGAGACCATGGTCTTTAACCTCCTTGTTAGAACAACTGACTCCCATGCAAAGAATTCCCAGTTTGATCCCAGCTCAAATTAGGTTGGGTGCAGTGGGAGCTATGGGTTACACTTGGGAGCTCATCCGGGATGGGAGTGAGGTTTAGGGGGGTGAATGTAACAGAAGCCAGCTAGTGAAGTGTTAGCAGGTAAACCTCACTCCTCGGACCATAAACGGTGCTCTAGCAACAGACGCTAGAGGCCATGGTCTTTAGCCTCCTTGTTAGAGCAACCGACTCAAATGTAAAGAATCGCCGATTCGATTCCAGCTCAGCCAAGTTAGGTGCAGTAGGCTCTCTGGATTACACTTGGGGGCTCGTCCGGGATGGGAGTGAGATTTAGGGGGGTGAGTGTAACGGTGGCCAGCTAGTGAAGTGCTATGCAAGTAAACGTCACACCTTTGACCTCTTAAGGTGTTCTAGTGTAAGACGCTAGAGGCCATGGTCTTTAGCCTCCTTGTTAGAACAACCGACTCCCATGTAAAAAAAATCCCCAGTTTAATGCAAGGTCAGAGTGGAATGGGTGGAATAGGACCGGTGGGTTACACTTGGGGGCTCGTCCGGGATGGGAGTGAGGTTTAGGGGGGTGAGTGTAAAAGAAGCCAGCTAGCTAAGTGCTATGCAGGTAAACCTCACTCCTCTGACCTTTAAAAATGCTCTAGGGACAAACGCTAGAGGCCATGGTCTTTAACCTCCTTGTTAGAGCAACCGACTTGAATGTAAAGAATCGCCGATTTGATCCCAGCTCAGCCAAGTTAGGTGCAGTAGGCTCTCTGGGTTACATTTGGGGGCTCGCCCGGGATGGGAGTGAGATTTAGGGGGGTGAGTGTTACGGCGGCCAGCTAGTGAAGTGCTATGCAAGTAAACGTCACACCTCTGACCTCTTAAGATGTTCTAGTGACAGACGCTAGAGGCCATGGTCTTTAGCCTTCTTGTTAGAACAACCAACTCCCATGCAAGGTTTAGGGGGTGAGTGTAAAAGAAGCCAGCTAGCTAAGTGCTATGCAGGTAAACCTCACTCCTCTGACCTTTAAAAATTCTCTAGGGACAAACGCTAGAGGCCATGGTCTTTAGCCTCCTTGTTAGAACAACCAACTCCAATGCAAGGTTTAGGGGGCTGAGTGTAACAGTGGCCAGCTAGTGAAGTGCTATGCAAGCAAACCTCACTCTGATCTCTAAAGGTGCTCTAGTGTCTTTAGCCTCCTTGTCAGAGCAACCGACTCGAATGTAAAGAATCGCCGATTCGATCCCAGCTCAGCCAAGTTAGGTGCAGTAGGCTCTCTGGATTACACTTGGGGGCTCGTCCGGGATGGGAGTGAGATTTAGGGGGGTGAGTGTAATGGTGGCCAGCTAGAAGTGCTATGCAAGTAAACGTCACACCTCTGACCTCTAAAAGAGCTCTCGCGACAGACGCTAGAGGCCATGGTCTTTAGCCTTCTTGTTAGAACTACCAACTCCAATGCAAGGTTTAGGGGGCTGAGTGTAACAGTGGCCAGCTAGTGAAGTGCTATGCAAGCAAACCTCACTCTGATCTCTAAAGGTGCTCTAGTGACAGACGCTAGAGGCTATGGTCTTTAGCCTCCTTGTTAGAACAACCGACTCCCATGTAAAAAAATCCCCAGTTCAATGCAAGGTCAGAGTGGGATGGGTGCAATAGGACCGGTGGGTTACACTTGGGGGCTCGTCCGGGATGGGAGTGAGGTTTAGGGGGGTGAGTGTAAAAGAAGCCAGCTAGCTAAGTGCTATGCAGGTAAACCTCACTCCTCTGACCTTTAAAAATGCTCTAGGGACAAACGCTAGAGGCCATGGTCTTTAGCCTCCTTGTTAGAACAACCAACTCCCATGCAAGGTTTAGGGGGCTAAGTGTAACAGTGGCCAGGTAGTGAAGTGCTATGCAAGCAAACCTCACTCTGATCTCTAAAGGTGCTCTAGTGTCTTTAGCCTCCTTGTCAGAGCAACCGACTCGAATGTAAAGAATCGCCGATTCGATCCCAGCTCAGCCAAGTTAGGTGCAGTAGGCTCTCTGGATTACACTTGGGGGCTCGTCCGGGATGGGAGTGAGATTTAGGGGGGTGAGTGTAACGGTGGCCAGCTAGTGAAGTGCTATGCAAGTAAACGTCACACCTCTGACCTCTAAAAGAGCTCTCGCAACAGACGCTAGAGGCCATGGTCTTTAGCCTTCTTGTTAGAACTACCAACTCCAATGCAAGGTTTAGGGGGCTGAGTGTAACAGTGGCCAGCTAGTGAAGTGCTATGCAAGGAAACCTCACTCTGATCTCTAAAGGTGCTCTAGTGACAGACGTTAGAGGCCATGGTCTTTAGCCTCCTTGTTAGAACAACCGAGTCCCATGTAAAAAATCCCCAGTTCAATGCAAGGTCAGAGTGGAATGGGTGCAATAGGACCGGTGGGTTACACTTGGGGGCTCGTCCGGGATGGGAGTGAGGTTTAGGGGGGTGAGTGTAAAAGAAGCCAGTTAGCTAAAAATGCTCTAGGGACAAACGCTAGAGGCCATGGTCTTTAGCCTCCTTGTTAGAGCAATCGACTTCAATGCAAAGATTCCACAGTTTGATCCCAGCTCAGAGCAGGTTACTCTCGTTTTCAGAAATAATATTTAAAAATCATTCAAAAAATGTCTTTACAGGCTAAATGATCTGCCAATGTCCTCCGTTTCTGTCTGGTGCTTCAGTGTGACCTATAAGTCACTCAAAGTGACGGTAGAAAAGAAAGTTTTCTTTTATACTCCAGATCAAACAAACCAAGTGTGAACACACCCTAAAACTATAATTAGCCCTAAAATCATGCTAACAGACAACACAAATCAGAATTCGTTTAATCACTGATAAAGATAGTTGACCCAAAAATGTAAAATTCAGTCATCATTTACTCATTTTCCTTCTTCTGTTGGACACAATTTAATATATTTGGACGAATTTTGTAAACCAGTAATCATTATGTATGTCAATGACTACCGGTTTTCAACGTTCTTTTCTTTTGTGTCCAACAGAAGCTTCATAAATAGTTTGGAATTGCTTGAGAGTGAGTTAACGAGGAGTCAATTTCAATTTCGGGTGAGCTATCCCTTTACTGTTACAGATGAAATTAAAAAAGACAGTAAGGAAGGACTCCAGCTATGTTTTCTCCCATCACCAGCAGTAGCTCTACCCAGAATGCCCATCTGACAGGAGCCTGAAGCTCAGATCACTTGCTGTTTTTGCAGTAGTCGCTGTAGTTGCTGCAGGCTTTCTTCATGTCGGTGAGGAATGAAGGAACGCCCGTCTGAGAGGGAAAACACACACTGATCAACACACGCTCGCAACAAAATTCAGCTAACTTAAATTCAACATCACTTCAATAATGCTTGAGCATCAGGCTCACCTTTGCTGCCCAGTTGACCAGCCACGTCGGGATCATTCCTCCAGGATTATCAAAGTAGTTCATAAACACTGGAACAGAATTAAACAATGTTAATAATATACAGTATACAATTGAAAACACATATCGTCACCTTAGAATTATAAGGTTCTATCTGACATTTTTTGTCAAAATTGAGTTATTGACATATTATTATTAAATGACCACTTATTTACATTATGTGATGTTTTTTTATAAGTTGTTTACATTTTAAAGGGTCACGAAACACCAAAACACATTTTTTTGAGCTGTTGACAGTCGTATATGTGTCTCACACTGCTAAAAACACTATTAGGACACCTATATTTCACTAAAAAGTGTAAATTGGTTGTTTTTGCGTTATTTCACGTAAATTCGTACTTCCGATTTGAAATGAATTTTTGAAGCTGCGTCACGGCCATGACATAATAGCGTTGTATTCCAGCGTGCAGACTGGACGTCTGTGCCAGAGTGTGTCTTATTACGTCTTACAGTGTGATGCATTAATGCATGAGTAAGGCTTGGTTCAAACCAATCAGCGCACTCTATTGTGCAACTTCATTAATATTCATTACTGTCATAATGTTCAGACGACAGAGACGCCACGTTGTGTTGGCAAAACAAGCGTGAAGTGTTGCTTTTATAGTTTGCTGCAGTTAAGTTTTGTTTTCATTTTCTCTCTGTGAGAGTTTATCTGGATCACGTGAGGATTAACAGTGTACGCGACGCTCGACAACAATAACTTACGTGTCTGAGGAGGATTATTGTTTACCTGAGAGCTGTTCTCATCTGCAAACGCTGAGATCCGGATTCGCTTGTAGTCTTCTCTTAATAAAGACGCAGCTCTAGTTGCTGGTGATTGTCCTGTCTCTACAGATTTGGTAAGTGAGTGACCAGTGCTCTTTGTTTATTCCGTTTGTTCGTATCGAACTAAGTTAACCATTGCACTGAGTGTAAACATGTTAGCACCACAACCAAACTTTAACCTCGTGTAGGATTTTCGCCGCATTTTGTGACCGGAATAACAGACGCGGCTTTCTGACACTACCTGCCGTGTGCATCTAAGTTTCCGGGAAATGCGGAGGGTTTTTCTCTCATTCGCCGTGCGGTATCAAACATTGCATGAAAAATACACGCTTAGAGCAGTTCCTCGAATCAAATATCTCGTTTGTGGCGAGGGACATGAATGAATTCCCTGAATGAAAGAGCCAAACTGCAGTTAAAGTCCACCATTTAATAATTTGGCAAATAATTCGTGTTTGTGTGTGTGTGTGTGTTTTGACTTTGAAACTCGCATTTTTAATGCATGCACGAGGACCAATCAGGATCAGTTTTCTTTGTCACTTTGCCAGACTGCTGTATTGACAGTGGTAAACATCCGAGAGTTGTTGTCATAGCAACAGTTCTGGTAGCTCAAACCTGCGTAATAAGTTAATTACTTATCACAACGTCAACTAGTTCATTATTTAATGTAATCTAAACCAAATTTTTTACTCTTTGCTCATAATTAGATGTTAATCGTATGTATTTAATATTTTGAAATGTATACTAAAAAGGTTTGATTATATTCACTTGTGTGGCATTTTCACCCTTTAAAGTTTACACATGCAGTTGTTAAATAAAGTAAGTTGTTATAAATAAGTTGTTAAAGAAAAAAATTAACAAAAAATATTTTACTGGAAAATTATTACTGCTTATGCCGTATTCTAGGCTAGTGTTTCTCAACTGGTGGGAACATTTTCAGTGGGTCGCGGAGTGTGTGTTTAAAAAAAAAACAACAAAAGTTAAATTTATCTATTTTGCTTATACCGGACTTTTATTTTGAAACGCGTGTGCAACAACCCTACCGTTTGACATGTGAAATTTAATTTAATTATTGCAACAAATATGTCAAGCGCAAGTACGACCCCGAATATGTAAAGTATGGATATATATATATTGACGACAAAAAAGACTTAAAGCCTCGGTGTCATATGTAGTGAGGTGCTCTCATAAGAGAGCACGAAACCTTCTAAATTAAAACAACATTTAGAAATCAGAAAACATATTTTATTAACAGTTTAATATTAACAGTATTTGTCGTTTTTACTTTTCTATAATTTAATCCATTTTGTTAAATGACAGCAATAAAATAGTATTTATTTGTAAGTTTCTTATGATGTATCTGTCACTACTTGTTTATGTTAAAAATAAATACAAATGAAGTATAATTGCAAAAATTGTATTATAGTTCCTAAAAATTTGGGTCGCAGCTTGATGACCATGTAAAAATGTGGGTCCCATGGCCAAACCAGTTGAGAACCCCTGTTCTAGGCAGTATTGATAAACTGCCAGAAAAAAAAAACTAATACATGTAGTAAGAACGTCGTCTCACGGATGCTGACTTTCACACAACAACGTTGCTACAGCCTACTTACAACTTACAGTTCTACGTTGTAACAAAGTAGCGAGCGCGTAAGTGGCGATCATCGCTACAACAAATGTGTTTGTTGGGATGTCACTATTTTTCTCAGAATGCATATTTCTAAAGGTGCTGTTGACTTGAAGTTTACACCAGACGTTGATAACAACTAAAGAAATCCATATATGCAAATCGAATTAGTTTACAAATCAAGTTATGCATAATTAAATGAAATGACACTGGAAAAAAGTATTGAACACATGAAGAAAGGGAGGTGTAGAAAGGAAGTGAAAGCCCAGACAGCAGCTGAAATCTCTCTGTATTTCTTCAGCAACCCTCTGCCCTTTATCAGTGTAAATGAAAATGAATATCAGCTGCTTCAGTTCAACATCTACATTAACAGGAGGATAAAGATTAAACCAGGATGGACATTTCAGCAAGACAATCATCTGAAAAGCACAGCCAAGGAAACTCAAATGCTTTCAGAGAAAGAAAATCAAGCTGTAGAATGGCCAAGCCAATCACCTGATCTGAATCCAATAGGAAAAACGTAAGAAAGCTCAGATTTGCTAGACGAGACCTACAGAACCATCAAGATTTTTTTACACTCTGTTGAAGTCTGTGAAAAAAATCTCGCCTGAGTAAACTTCATTCTTCATATAAGAGGCGTTCGTATAGGAGTAGTTTAGTAGTTAAAGTCCATGTCAACAGCTCCTTTAGAAATATTATTAAACATGATGTGTTCAATACTTTTTTCCCCCCACTATATGTGCTCCAGTGTGTTACATGTTACATTTCTGTGTTCCAGTGTTACGTGTGTGTTCTCCATTGTGTTACAAGTGTGTGCTGTACTTTTGGTTCCTCCGGAGTCGTCACTCTCTATGGCCAGGCTCTGTTTGTAGTCTTTGACTCGGATCACTCCTCTTTTCTCCGGACACTGAGACACAGACGTGCTCTTGGCTAAAACCACACAGATCTTCCGTCCGGACACGTCCAGATCCCTTCGCTCGCGCACATACACATACTGCAGACGTTCAGGAAACACACACACCATCTAGACCACACCAATACAGTCTCCATTCACCCTTATCAGCTGCTGTAGCATTAGCATATTAAACATACTACAAGAAATGTGCTAAATAAAAGCCACTTGAGCATTACTGATGAATACAATAGACAGAGGTAATGATTTATACTGCTGTATCTAAGATTGGGCTGCTCTTAATTGACAAAAAATAAATTGAAATGTAGTTACAGGTCTTGATTTTATATATATA